AACACACACTTGCTGGGATTTTGATCACTTCAAGTTGTCTACAATTTTTAAATGCACATGCTTGAATGTGTTGTAAATTATCAGGAAGTTTTACATTTGTCAAATTTTTGCAAAAAATAAATGTTGCACTTGATATAATTTTTATATTTGGTGAGATTTGAATGTCTCTCAATTTCTCACAATATCTAAAAGCCTCATATCCTATCGAGTAAATTGATGAAGGCATATCAAATGTTTCAAATCCACATTTTTCAAAGGCGTTTTCCATTATTTTTGTTATTGAAGACGGAATATGTATCGATGTTAACGATATACAACCACCGAAACAGTTTGTTGGTATTATTTTAAGACCTTCAGATTAAGTAACACTTTCAAGTTCATCATAATCACTAAAAGCGCATTTTTCAAGGTTTGTGATATGAATTGGAACTTTAAAAGTGTCAAAATAAAAAGAGTTAAAAACACGAGAGCCATAACTTCTAATGTTTGTGTTTTCCATTAGTTGAATCAATTCGTCTTCTTCTGTAATTTTATCAGTGTCCTTTACAGAAACGTAAAGGTTTTTAAATGTGATATTAGGGTCTTTTAAATGACTATTTGCATACCAATTATCAACTTTGTACAACACAACAACGCGTTTTATTTCTGGCAATTTGACATCTTTCTCGTTATATAAATACTGAGTTTCTATATTTGGAAATAATTTAGTTGAAGTTATTGGTATGGGGTTGTATCTAAATCTGTCTAAAATACACGAAAATTTCTTGCATACAAGAATCATATTTATAAAATCATCTGCAAAGAAAAAGTGTTGAGCAACAATTTGTAAATGAAATGGATCTAACTTTTTGATCATTGTATATTATTTTGAGTTGTATTTGTTTATATAAATATTTATATTTTGTAACTTACTAAACTTATCATTTTATATGGTTTAAAATAGTTTAAAAATCAAATATTCTTCTGTAAAATTTTTTGTATTTTTTACATATGTTAAAATATTTTTATTAAAGATTTTAAATTAACATAATCAAAATATCAATAAACAATCTTTTTAAAATTTTAATAGTAAAATTACAAAAAACAACCAAATATATTATATTACAGATAGCGGAAAAACCAGTGACTAGATAAATTTTAGTTATTGAATATTAAGCGGATTATATACAACAAAACGGGCAAAGATATAAGTAAATGTATAATTTTCTTGTTATTCAGTATTAAAAACGGTTATTTTTCGGGATAAAAAAAATGAATATGTTGTATAAAGTATGAATGAACAACTATTTTATGTGAGTCATAATAGTAAATTTATTATTATTAATTTGTCAAAATATTATTCTTTTGTTCAACCTTGTTTGACTTCAACACAACCATTTAATTAACCCATTTATTCGAGTTTTCAAAAAACCCATTGTAGTCTTTTCTATTCACTCGGTTAATTTGATGAGTCATTTTTCGTTCAGTATTAAAAGTGACTCGTGCAGTTCATTTAAATTTAATTAAAAATAAATTAATTGCTTGAATGTTAGACATCCAGTAAATTATTGACAACTAAAAAAGTATTTAACAACAGAAGATAAATCAATACCAAGAACTAATGTTAAATTGACTCAGCTGGGTATTAACAATGTAGACAACTCATATTGATTAATTAAAAGTTATAAATTTTATAGTTTTTTATATCTTATTTAAAAAAAGTGTGTTTATTAATAAATAGTATTTCAAAACTCCGTACCGTTTCCATAATTTATATAAACCCTTTGTCCTAATTTCACGTTATTTACTGTTTTTTATTTGTTTTATTTTTTATTTTCCTTTTTGCTGAAACAACAACGGTACACAGTTTAAAACCCTTAAAAATCAATACAGTTTCAATTATTGAACAAAAAATCAGGAAATCACCCTAAATTTGTGTAAATCTTTCCCGATTTTCCAGGTTCGTTATTTGGTTAGTGATCCATTTCGTAACTAAACATGAGTATAATTGTACGTTTCAAACAAACATAAGATAAACGACAATATAAGAATAAACAAACGATGTGATGAAGGACATTATTGCATTAAATAATGCAACACTTTAACTAATAATAAGTTTTTGTTTATTTCAACATTAAAAAATGGCCATCGATAACATAAAACAAACATTTGAACAATCAAGGTTATTAATCAAAAGAGTCTAAAATAAAATAAACAGTTCAAAAAAACTTTCAATTGTATAGTTTTAACCGATTTATTTTCTCTCAATGCTTGTTTTACTCATTGGTACTTTTCATTTTTATCCAAAACACCACTAGGTGATTCTGTAAAAACTGACATCGAATTATAAAGTTGTGTTTACGTTTTTCGGCAAAAAATGTGTTGTGGTAATCAAAATTTTGATCCCAAGTTTGTTTTTTTATATTTTTAAGTGATTTTTGATGAAAAATTTATTTGTCAAGTAAAAATAAAAAAAATCAAGTTTGTTATTTTGTTTTTTTGAGTAAATATTTGAACCAAAAAATGAGGGTTAAGCAAAGAATAAATAATTTAGGAATAATAAGTCCAATAAATTGGGGTGTCCAATGTACAGAGTTTTGAAAAACAGTTTATCAATTTCCAAATTTGTCATAAAAATTGAATATTTTTATCATAATATTTAACTTAAAACAAATTACTCAATTTGATACCAACTCGAAAACGACTAAGTAAATAACACAAAGTGTTTTTGTTGTAACTTTTAGTTTTGTATAATCAGCGGAGTCTTTTTCTTCATCAAAGACTCGATCAGTAAATACTGTTTTGATTTTTTAAAAAATAATCAGAAAAATGTTATTCGAAAAATTATTTTTATTTATCAAGTTCGGCAAAATTATTTGTTTTGTTTTATTTTATTAAAAATTGGAAAAAACATACAAAAAATAAACGTATTAATATTATAATTAAACGATTATTAAGTTTATGACGATTAAAAATAAAAAACCTTTAAATTTGATTATTTTGTGTTAGATAAATCGTTGTAATTCAATTTTTGTTGCTTTCTATGTGATAAGATAAACAATGTAAACAGTACGCCAATAATAATCACAGCAACTATGAACAAGACCCCAAGCACAGCAACGCCCGTTGAAAGTAAAATAATTTGAGTTTTCTTTTTATCATCTTCATTCGCAATTTCAATCTCCATTGGTTGTTTCACAAACCCCATTTTCAACCCAATACAGGCATTTCCTTTATACAAATCGACTTTTTGTTTGTTGACAGTGAAGTTCTCAAAATAGCAATCGGAGAAGTAAAAGCATGGGTCGGCACAATTCTGGTTTTCAAAATTAACAAGAAAAAAACAAAATTTGTGGCAATTTAATTGAAAAAATACCATTATTTTTATGAAAAAATATTTTTTTTGATAACTGAGCAAATAATCGGGTTATGAAAAACATTGATAAATATTTGAAAGACTTTCTATTTTTTTAAAAAATGTGTGTTATTTAAAGGCTAAACAAAATACAAAATGTTTATATTTTAATTGTGTTTTATACTTGTTTTCGTTTTTTGGTCACGAGTAAATTGCTTAAAAAACAATATGGGTGCAAACTCAAATTATAGTAAACATAATCTATACAAAGTTAATTAAACAAATAATAACAATAAATAATAAAATATAATTAATAAAAAAAACAATTTAAATTATTATATTAATAAAGG